GGTGGGAGGGTGTGGATGTTATTTGGGAGATTCCTCCCACTTCATGGTGCCCAGGGTGAGTCCCCTCCTCTTCCTCAGGGCTCATCTCCCTGTTCTCCCTCCCTCCCTGCAGGGCCTGGAACGGTCGCTGGAAGATGGAGCCTGTGACCCCGAGGAGCCAGAGAGGAGGTGGGTGCCACAGCACCCTGCTTGGGTGGGGGGGCTTTGGGGACCCCCACCCTGGGCCACCCTGCCCTAAACCCCTCCTGATCTTCCTCTCACAGGGCGCTACAGGGAGCAAGGGAATGTCCAGAGCTGGAGACTCAGGACCTCTAAGGTGAGCAGGGGCTGGATGGGACCTTGCAGGGCTCCAGTCCAAGGCCATGGGGACAACCTTGAGTCCCTGGACTGTCCCCACTGCTACTGACCTTGGCCTGAGGCAAAGGAATTTGGCTGCTGGCAGGGGTTGGATGGGGTGGGAACACAGGGAGAGGAGCAGGTTTGCTCCCCAACGCTGCCAACCTGTGGTTTTGCAGCCCATTAATCCATTACCAGCACTTTTCTTAATATATATAGTATTTTTTCCTGTGGTTTTTCTGGGTTGTTTTTTTTTGCCTCCCTGGCAGAACCTCGACTCCTGCTCATCTTGCTCCTCCTTTTCCCCAGGGCCCCAGGCAGGATGTGAAGCTGCTCGGGGGTTGGATCCGGATGCTCCTGTCCCCCCCCCCCCTGCCATGAAGCTGAAACTCCCTCCTCCTTCACCTGGTGGCCAGAGACTGCAAAAAAATAAACCCCCAACCTCCCTGGCTGGGGGGGGATGAAAGGATTGGGGGGGGAAATACACCCCGAGTGGGACCCCCGGGAAGCAAAGGGCTGGATGACATGGGACTGTTCCTGAAGGGCTTTGCCAGGCCGGTGGCTGAGGTGACCCCGTGATGCTGAGCGGGACGATGGAGGAGCTGGTGCTGGATGGGGGGTGATGGATCCCTCTGGGACACAGCCAGAGCTGGCAGCAGATGGAGAGGACCCACTTTCCCAAATTCCCCTGGCTCTTCTTCCATCACGCTGGGGTTTGGAGCAGCACCCATCACCCCCCCCCCCTTCAGCTTCATCCTGCCTCTCAACCGGAGCATCTCGGATACCGAAGGTGGGAGGGAGAGATTTACAGGGACTCCCCTCCCACAGAGCTGCACCACCCCAGCCCCGACTTGCAACTTTAAACCCTGACACTGTGAATATTTAAAGCCCACCCGTGTCCCTGTCCCCACGCAGGGCTGGGCTCGGGGGTGACAACTTGGCACCGTCCCACTCCCCGTCCTCCTGCCTCCGGTCCCAACCCGAGCTGGACTCGGCTCCTCGTGCCATTACACTCTTTGATTTTTATTCTTCTGGTTCTTTTGGATGAAAGTCTTTTATCCCCCAGTATTTTCCAGGGGGTAAGAGGGTTGGGAATCCCATCCTGGTCCCCCCCTCTCAGCCCCCTCAGCCCTCCAGGGGTGTTGCTGCGAGCTGGTCTCGCCTCGGACTCTGTTTGAATCTTGTGGTTCTTTTCTTCCATGTTTGTGACTGTGCTTGAAGTGAAGGGAATTTGGGGCCAGGGAAGGGTTGGATCTGCTGGGGGAAGAAGTGGAGGTGCCCCAGTAGGTACCTGGGGGCTTTTCAGCTCAGCCCCTTTCCCAGTCTAGCTTTGGGAAGAGCCTGGACTGGGATCGAGAGATCCTGGTTTGAGATCAAGAGGTTCTGGACTGGGATTGAGAGGTCTCAGGCTGGGATCACTAGGTCCTAGACTGGGATTGAGAGGTTCTGGTTTGAGATTGAAAGGTCGTGGTTTGAGATCAAGAGGTCCTGGTTTGAGATCAAGAGGTCCTGGTTTGAGATCAAGAGGTTCTGGTTTGATATGGAGAGGTTCTGGACTGGGATTGAGAGGTTTCAGGCTGGGATCAAGAGGTTCTGGACTGGGATTGAGGGGTCTCAGACTGGGATCACTAGGTCCTAGACTGGGATTGAGGGGTCTCAGACTGGGATCAAGAGGTTCTGGTTTGAGATCAAGAGGTCCTGGTTTGAGATCAAGAGGTTCTGGTTTGATATGGAGAGGTTCTGGACTGGGATTGAGAGGTTTCAGGCTGGGATCATGAGGTTCTGGACTGGGATTGAAAGGTCCTGGTTTGAGATGGAGAGGTCTCAGATTGGGATTGAGAGGTCCTGGACTGGGATTGAGAGGTCCTGGACTGGGATTGAGAGGTCCTGGACTGGGAGGTCCTGGGTTAGGGTCACCTCCTGCCCCAGCCCAGCCCCCCTCTGGCCCTGAATGTGAAGCGTGGCCTGAGCTGCTCTGGGGTTTTGAAGTATTATTTTTATAGGGTGGGAGAAGACGTGGACAAACCAAACAGATTTTAAAGAAAGC